TTTCAGGACAAGCTCTATCAGGAGGAGTACCAGTTTGTTGCAACTGAAGAAGAAAGGGAGGAAATATCCAGGAAACTGAGTGAAGCTTCCAGCTGGATGGAAGACGAGGGCTATGCAGCCCCAACAAAGGTTAGATGTCACCAATGTAAAGCTGAGAAAGAACCAGTTGGTGGCTCTGGGAGGCTGGACCACATGTGCACCTCCAGAGGCTTCTGGGTTGCAGTTCCCAGCTTCCCCGTTACTGGCCATGTTGGTGGGGGCGGATGAAACTGGGAGTTCAGCAGTACCTTGAAATTGTAGCTGACAGGGTGGGGGTGTTTTGTAGGCCCTTGTCGGCAGCTCGTTGGAAAAGACTGCATTGCCTTAGCACAGGGTTGGTCAATCAGGGCAGCAGCCTGGCACGTGGCTGATTGTTTCTTGCCAGCTCCTCCTTGATTCAGTGTTTCACTCGGTTGCCACAAATAGCCCCATACATGAGGTCACTATTACTGGCACACATTTGACCAGCTCTCCTGGCGTTCATGTTTTCTTCATGTTCTGATGAGCAGTGATGCTCACTGAGACGTGGTCCATTAATCATAGTCTAACTGCTGGGTTAGTTTCCACATGGATCCCTCTGGCTTGTGAGGGTGGCTCCTGCAATTCCTGAGCTCCTGCCATACCAGAAACCCTCCAAGGATGACTTTGTGCCAGGCTCCATTTCCTCTCTCTTGCGATTCCCAGGAGCTGAAGGAGAAGCTTTTGGAGCTGAGGAGGGTGTGCCGGAGCCTCTTCTTCCGGGTGGAGGAGAGAAGGAAGTGGCCAGACCGCCTGGCTGCCCTGGAGAGCCTGCTGAATCACTCCAGCATTTTCCTTAGGTAGGAAGGAGGCAGGCCAGGGAGAGGATGAGGGCCCCTAGACCTCCCCCCCCCTTGGGAGAATCTTCAGCTTCTGCAGCTGGGATTGTACATGTCAAAGTGCCCAAGAGGTAGTCGGAGACAAGGCCTTGCAGCTTTTCACTCCTTCCATAGTGTTTCATGAATTGTGGAGCATCTTTGATTCTGTGAGTAGAAGCTAGAAAAGAGATTTCTGGGAAAGACTTCCGATTGAGGGGCCTCTGATTGCTGAGTTAAATGGAACTGCAGTTTTATTAGCAAAAATGGAGAGTGTGCTCTGAAGTCCAGCCTGGTGGCTTGAAAGAAGTTCCTCCCAGGAGGGAAGATTCTTCCCAGCACCAGCTGCCCTCTCCCTGGTGCAGTTGAGGGCTGCCTGGAGCGGGAGTTGCCATCTGCGCCTGAGTTATGCTTCAGGCAGGCTGAACCCCTTTCCTGCTCCTTTCAGGGGGGCCCGAATGATCCCAGAGCCTGATCAGGTATTCACCGAGATCGAGCTGAGCACTTTGGAGAAGGCTATCAAGGAGACAGAGGTAACTGCAACCACAGGAGGTGCCCACAATGTTGGGGGTTCCTGTCCCAGCGAAAGGGGGCATCTTTGGAGAGCCCACAAAAAAGGAGCGGCGCAATAGCTGCCTATGCAGCAGAAGACAGACTTGGGTGTGAGAGCCGCACTTAATCCCAAAAACCACAGACAGCTTCTGCTCCAGGACCTGTTAGCTCTTCCTATCTTCCAGTTCCTCCTTTGGGGCAGGAGGTCAATTTCCCAAGGTCACTTCACTGTGTGTGTGGGGGGGGGGGGAAGAATCTCCACGCAGCCTAACCAGGAATTGTGGCCAGTCAGATTCCTCAGGTGGCCCTGTTGAATTCTAGTCTCCTCGGCCTTTATTATACGAAATGGTAAAAGGCGGCTGTAATGTCCCTCAGGAGGGGCTCTGGGAGGATCTCCATGCTGGTGTACCCAAGGTGAGGAAGTGGCTTCTTAGGCAGAAAGCAGCCAGCAGTAAGCGGCCGGGAAATGAGTGCCAGTTCCCTTTTCTCAGGTGTGGAAGAACGAGACGCTGGCCGAGCAGAACAAGCTGCCCCCCACCGCCAAGCCTGTTCTGCTTTCCAAGGACATTGAGATGAAGATCGCAGGCTTGGACCGTGAGGTGCAGTATCTTCTCAATAAGGCCAAGTTCTCCAAGCCCAGGAAGAGGGAGAACGCTACAAGAGCAGAAACCAGCAGGAACGCCACTGGGTCCCCGGAGAATGGCAAGGCTGCTCCTCCCAAGCAGGAGACTCGGGAAGGTGAGCAGGCCTTCTGGCAGGTGTTGCCTGCCTCTGGATGCCTGGACTGGAGCCAGAGCAGTCCTCGGAAGCCCCCTGGGTGCCCTTTGCTAGGCTGCACGTTGGGAATGGAAACGAGGGAGGGAGAGCTGCCTTCAGTGCAAAAAGGTCTCTCCACAACTCTGTTTTTTTCTGCCAAGAGCAGATCAACTGGAAGATGCCAGTCCGGCCAAAGAGCCCCCGACGGAGAAGGAAACACCATTGGACAATGAGTTGGACCCAGACGGAGGTAAGGAAACCCTGCTGAAGGGGGAGGGCTGGAACTGGGTCGAGGAGGAGGAGGAGGAAGCCTTTCCTTGGTTTTTCCTTGTGTTACACTGGAGTCCTGGCACCGGCTTTCCAGGCAGAAGGTCCCCAAATTTGTCCAGGGCCACAAACGCTACAGCACCACAGTGGCATTCACCTGTAGTCCTCACTCACTGGCCACTTGCTCATCTACCAAATCAGTGGAGAAGCCAGCAGGGAAGGTCACAAGTTGCTCTGGTCAGTTTCCCTAGCCTCCTTGTGCTTGCACTGACCCACAGCCTCTTCTCAGCCATCCTGCCCTCATGCAGCACTGGACCCCGCTTCCCTTGACTTCTCTGCCCTTCTCCTTCCTGCGGCTCCCCCCCCTCCAGCACCCCCAGGCTCCTGACCTGGGTCTCCTGCCACTTCCCAGTTAATGGCCCATTTGCCTTGGAGTTAGGACAGCAGCTGGGGCTCCCTAAGCAGTTGGGGGGCCATGTGATGAGCCTTACGGCCACCTTGCTCAGTAAGAGCAGTCCCGGTCCCAAAGGCCATCGTAGCCCAAAGAGTTTACCTGTATCATTTCCAGCAGGGTTGACATTCTACAGAGATGATGGGAAAATAATGCTAGTTGAATGGATTTTGTGCAAAGCTGCTTAAGTGGGCTGGAACTTTCCATTAGCACCTGGCAGGGAGCTGGGCACAATCTGGACACTCGGAGTCCCAAGTGAGCACCTTGATTGGCCAGAGACCACGTGGGGGTGTGGACTGTCCTTCTGCGACAACAAAAGTCCAAGCAGGATGTTTCTGAGAATGATCCTTGCATCTGAACATTTAACTGATTGTTTTCATCTTTAATGTAGGCCCACAAACAGGTGAAACTCCAAAAACAAAAGAAGAGACAAGAAGTAATGATGAATTATAACACTTCCTCAAGTCCCTGTGTGCATCATCAACATCTATTTATTTACAGTTAATTTTACTGTTTTTATGATGGACATGGTTAGTGGAACATGGCACAAACTGATGACAAAATAGAATTGTATTTTTCCCCCTTTTTGTTTGGGGATTTTGTTCTTGCTCATTTGGAGATTTTGTGCTGTATCAACTCCTTTCTTTAAAGACGACTTTCAGCTCTTTGGAAATATTTGCGGTGTCTGACCCAGCTTTTTCCTGGGATCAGCATTTTTCAGCAATGGATTAAACCTACCTGGAATTCTCTAGGACACCGTACAGTTCATCTGCTCTGGGCTCTGCTTTTGATGCAGAAAGCAGGGCCTGGAGTGGCTGTCCTTACATGGAAAACTGAACATGGTATGCAGATTAAGCCTGCCTGAGAGGCTCCTTGGGCGTTTTGCTGCCGATGCTACTATCATTTTCCTTGTTCTGCAGCTCTGTGTCACAAAGTCAGATGAAACATAAATGGGTAGGCAGTAACAGTCTGAAAGAAGTCTTAAATGTTCGGTATTGTATCATGAGGAGGTAATATAAAATAGAACCACCCAGGAGGCAGGCCATCAACCCCCAGGCTGGCTGCTGACAAAGCAAGAGAGAGAACCAGTCTCCTCTGCCCTGCTTTCGGTTCACAATGCTGTGGCCAAGTTTTGCCTCATTCTGTAGTTTCAAGGGGTCTCTGCGCAACTCTGCTGCTGTTACGCAAGCTTCGGGTGCTTTTAGAGGGTGGGTGGTTATTCTTTGCTCTTAAAGGTTGCCCAGTCTGATTTCTGGTAATCACTTTAATAACTCTGGGCATGATTCTTAACTGGGCTTTTTTTTTTTTTTTGTCCCTTTGATAGAGGAGTAGGAAGTGGGTTACCAAGGCTGGCTGTTTCTGAGTATGTGCTTTTTTATTTGGGCAATTCATCTTGCTGCTGGGCTTTGAACTACTAAGGTGAGAAATGAAGCTTTTCCACAGTATGAAAAAAGTAGCCTTGCAGGAAAGCAGAGGAAGATCTACTTTCTCTGTTCATATTCTTCCCTCAAGAAATCTTCGTAGGGACAGGAAAGGAATATTCTGTATTTGTCGATGATGCCCAGCCTTGCACGGCTCAGAGCAAACACTTAGACTGAAATTCGTTCAGAAGTTTATATGTTGAGTTTCTCTAATTCTGTAGATTTCCCAGAGCGCAGCAGACGCCAAAAGCCAAAAGCCAACCGCATAGCGAGCGGAGGAGCAGGGAAGGTACGCCCCTCCGCTCGCCGGAGGTTTGGCAACCTGCCTCCGCGCCTTCCCCTGGGCGGAGCTGTCTGCAGGGGCTTCGCGGCTCTTGAAGCGCTCTTCTAAGGACTGCAACGCTTTCCGTGGAGCTGCTTCGGGCAGGGCGCGCGTTCGCCGGACAGTCCCGAGGAAGCCGCTGGAATCAGCGCCGCGGGTAGGCGGGGTCCCGTCGCCGAGCTGCCCCCGTGGTTCGCCGGCTTCCTCCAGAGGGAGGTGCCCGTGCAAGACGCATGCGCTCCCGCGGGCCTAGGGAAAAGGCACAGAATGGAGCAATTGCTCGGAACTTAGGAAGCAGCGATTGGATGGCTGGGGAATGACGTCCGCCCTGGCCAATGGGTGGCCGGCGGGGCGTCTCGGGCCTGGCGAGGAAGCGCGACTGTCTTCCGGCGGGGGGGTACGTAGGGCGGCGGCGGCGGCGGCGGCGGCGGCGTGGGGGGGGGGCGGGCGGGGGTCGAACTCGCGAGCAGCGACGGCCTCGGAGCAACTGCGGGCTATTTTGGCGCCTGGGCGACTCGTTGGGCTCTCCTGGGGCGAGCAGAGGGAGCCGCGGTTCTTCTTCGAATTCCGGAAGGCCCTTTTCCGCCCGCTCCCTGGGCTTCGCCGAACCTCCGCCAAGGGGGCCCCGAGTGGGCTCGTCGGAGCCTCCGGGCGGGCCGGCAGAAAAGGGCTCCTGGGTCTCAGAGCCCGGTTTGTTCTGTGCCGCGCCGGCGGGCGGTGCCTCCAGGCGCTGCGGAAGAAGCAGCAGCAGCAGCAGCCGGACGCGCCTCCTCCTCCGGTTCGGCCTGAAGCTCCCCCCCTCCGTTCTGGCGGGCCCTGCCCCGACCCGGGGGCAGCGTCGTTGCCCACGGACGCTTCGGCCTGGAGGCTGCTTTTTGAGGCCTTTGGGCAACCTGGGCAGAAGCCCCCGCGGCGGCTCTCCTGGCGGGCCCGGTTCGGAGTTATCTGCCCTCAAAAGATCCGGGATGGATCAGGGCCAGTTTTTCAAGGACGCCTTCAGGGACCATCCAGAATAGCGACCTGCTGCCTCTATTGTGGAGTTGCCCCTTCCCCCTGGCACCTCTGCTCTGCGAAAGAACTTGTCATCTCCAAAATACCTATCACAACACTACCAGTTTTAGAAACTAATTTTAGGTTGCCAGCTTGGTGCCACCAAGGTTCCCGTTCCATGAACACACATTTTCCACCTGATTTTCTCTACATTTTTGATCTTAGACTTCAATGGGAAGCTAACATCAGCCTCAAACACAGCCTGATTTATTACTACAAGTAAAATAAAAATTTGCAAATCAAGTTTCTGAAACCTGCACCAAAAAAAGAGAAATTAAAAGGTGGAGAGAAAAATTTAAGGCTCAAGGAATCTGGAGTTCTTTTTCTGAAATTTTTATGTTGCGGCTAATTAAGAATTTGCAGAATGGATACTGAAACAGACGGACACTAAACAAGGTGCCAGAACTGAAATAAAAGGAAATGTTTATTGAAATTGTCCCCATTGAAGCACCAGGAGTCCTTCCCCAATCTTCCATGATGAGCTCAAGTGATGGGGTGGTCTCTGAAGAGCCTGTTAGGTGTAATGGTTCTAGCCTAGAAAGCAGAAAACTCAGTTCTAATCTTGCCTCAGGTATGAAAGCTGGCTGGGTGACTTTGGGCTAGTCCCTCATAATCAAGCTGTGGGTAGGATTCCTCCATTTCAGTAGTGAAATAGTCTTTTAATCTTTTAATGGAGGCTGTATTTAGTAAGAGTCAACAAATATCCACCTCCAAAATTTCTAGTAGGTAAATTCACCACCCAGCTGTTTCAAGTTCTTTATTTTTTCCCTTTTATTATCATTTGAAGATCAAATCCATTTTCAAATAGCAAAAGTAAATACAATTGCAATGACAATTTTTGCCACAAGATGTCCTCAGTGGACTGTAAAATCTTTTTTCCAAGTTAATAAAATTTTGTCTCATTAGAAAAATAGAAAAAGAAAAAGAGATATCTCCAACATAATAAATAGAGTAATAATAATGTTCTATGATAGAAATTTTTTTTCAGGACCCTTAGGTATCCCAAAATTTAAATAGTCAATAAAAAGTTAACTATTTTATTTCTTTTGTCAAAGCTCTTTTTCCCAAGTACACAAATGCCGCTCTCTTAAAACAGGGAAGTAGTTCAAAGGCTTTTTACAGGAAAGTAATTAGGGCGAAGAGAGGGAAGGAAGGGTCTCACCCAGATTCACCACGGTGGTTCTTTATGCTTAGCTGTTCTTCTGACTTTTGGCTGGTGCGGCTGGGTGATCGGCCATTTTACTAGCCGATCTTCTCCGTTGTCCCTACGGAGCTAGCTCGGACTGCGAAACGGTGGTCGCCCCTCCAGGGTGACTTTTCGACCTGATAGGGGTCTACCGGTGGAGGGAAAGCAGCCAGCGAAGAGACAAGTCTGTCCGTACAACTGGGTGCGTCCTGATCCGGAACCGGAAGTCAGCATAGAGGTTGCTTTTGTTGGGCAACTTATATAGCACTGCAATCTTTTCCCCCCTCCATCCCAAGTTGCCTTGTTAGACATCAGCAAGGGAAGGCTACGTATTAATGAGGATTAAGTGTCCAGCAAATATGAGGTCCCTATTAAGTGTCCAGCAAATATGAGGTGCCTTTATGACAAAGAGGGAAAGAATTACCTAAGTGGGATTAGAGCAGAAAATACTACATTTTGCAAGAGCTAGCTTGTCTAAGCAGCCTCTCTTCCAGGTGTTAATTTAAAAAATCCAGGCCATTCAGAAGAAGAGGTAGTAAGTCAACAGGGAGACAAATTTTAGTACTTCTAAGGCTTCTTCCATTACTTACCCAGAGTTACATCAGTGGAAAGTGTTAAGTCCGGAGAATAATGGCGCTTGAGACGAAGCATTTCTAACAAGTCTTTATTCTCTGCTTCCATTCTACGAACAACCCAAGCAGAGGCACGAAGGCCTCTATTTATACCTTCTGATCCCCGGGCAAATTCAACCAATCATGAGGCGGTATTTTCCCGTCTTGCGCATGCGCACAAGGCCAGCACCACTCAAAATGCCCGGGACTCTTGCAACGTCCCGAGCCTGCTTTTGCAGGCTCAGGACACAACACCCCTTCCCCCTAGATGAAATAATACGGTGTCCACATGGATGCCATCATACTGATGGTTAAATAGTTAACTGATAAGTTAAGTTACACAGTGTGTGTATGATGTGGAACTGTTCCGTCATACAAGACCCAGTAGTCCCAACATCGTTTACATAGTGTCAACCAGTCAGAACCTCTAGTTCAGTGATTACAGTTCACCTGTTCACCTTACATAGTCAGCTAGGTATTTGGGAGGGCCTCTTACCCTGAGTGACCTTCTCGGACCTGGGAAGTTTGTATTATTTTTCCCGTTGCTTCTTGAACTAGGTGAGTTGCCCAGTGGATGACTGATGACTTCAGTTTGACTATCCTGTCCACCTCCAGTATTCGAGCAGTCAGAACCCTGTTGATCGCTAAACCTGGTTGACCTACCCTCTATGGAGTGCTCTAACCCCTCTGAACTCATTGCCGTGTTTCCTAGCGGAGTGAGGTTTTCCTGGCTCGTTTCTGTAGTGATAGGGTCAAGGGATGCCCTGTTAGCCCTGATGCGTGAAGACATCCTTCTATGAGCCATATCAGCACGGGACGTGTTTTCCCTTTGTTTTGCCTGCTCTCTTGCATGTTGTGAGTTGTGAGTATGCTCCCAGGTGTTCTCCGTGTCTGGAGTATTGTTTGTAAGGGGTGGGTAATTATTCTGCCACCGGTGGGACTCCCAGGCTGGAGTGTGTGTAGGGGTGTCTATGTACCCCTGTTCCCAAGAACTGCTACTTGAAGTACCTGTGAAACTTGGGTGTTTAGAACCCGTTTCACTCCCCACAGCCATCGTTGGCTGCTGAGTTTGATTCCCAGAATGCATTTCCCCTTCCTCCTCCCCCCCAAGAGGAGACTGAGAAGGAACCATAGGCGCATCCCGTCTCACACGTAGTTGATCAATGTGGCGGCGAAGAACGCGGCCGTCTGTCAGGGACACCTCGTAGGACAGAGGCCCCGAGACCTTGCAGACCACAGCCGGGACCCAGAGGTGGCCAGGCCCGTAATTCCTGGCCCAGACAGGATCACCTTCACGTAGGACCCATGGTGGGTGCGGCTGAGACACCTGTGCAGCTACACGTTCCGGATGCAGCCTGTCCAATTTAGTCACAAGCTAACGACCCCAACGGAGTTCGGCCGGGCACTTACCCGTGGCAGTGCACGGAGTAGTGGCAGATCATGTTGGTCCGAAGAAATCCCTGAAACTCAGTAGAAGTAAATTGAGGACCGTTATCCGACACTAGAACATCTGGCAACCCGTGTGCAGCAAAAATGTTTCTCAACACTTGAATGGTCTTGGCGGCTGTGGTAGAAGACACAGGCACGACCTCCAGCCATTTGGAATGGCTATCAACAACAACCAGGAAGAATTGA